CTCTGAACACTCTCTTTCTGTTTTGTTTGATATTCTTTCTCTAATTCTATCATTTGTATGGCTCCATTCAATCTTATGACAGGGTGCTAGGAAACACGCACCTGTTATTGTCTATTAGTCATGGTTATTCAGCCAATCCATTTTGACACCATCCGAGTTAGTTGGCAATTATAAAATAAAAGACCAAGGTTTGGCATACACACCCAAATTTGTATGCTAAAATAACTAAAATTTCTATTAAGATCTCTCCTACGACAAACAGAAATATTCTGAAATAATATCTCAATAGTGTTCTGAGTAAACTAATGATGAGCAACAATTTATCCTCCCACCACCACCCCTCCCTCTCCCCGTTCAAAAATCATATCATGTTAACAGAAAAAACCTAGCCGACTAGTCCAGCAGCAGCATCACATTGTTCATGAAACCACAATTTCAGTTATAAACAAATTTTCAAGACAAAAAAAAAAAAAAAAAAATATTGGAAGATCTTCTGTGATAGGAACATGGAAAACAAAATTATAGTAAATGTATAGCTTCACATACCAGTCTTAGAATGGGGTCAAAGCAGCTTCAAAATATGAAGACAAAAGAATCCACGCCTCATAGAATTCCAAACTCAAGAAGAAAACTTAAAATTGCTCCAAGATATAATGGAGTTTAGGAACACGCCGACGAAACAATGGTTCAAGTCGAAATGATGGATCACCAAACTGCCACCCTCGAGCATCATACATTTCATTCCATGCCTGTACTATCTCATCAATTTTGAACCCTGTAATTACGGAAAGTGGTTTGTTAGATGTCTATAATCCTAAAATATTTGATATTTTAAAGGAATATCATATTTTTCCATCCCATACCTTCAAGTGCTGTTTCATTTGAGCAGTGATTCTTTACAATAAAAGCAATATCCGTTGCAGAAGTTCCAGCTAGTTCAAACTTTTCAACTGCAACCTCCAAGCATTCCTCCCATGTAGGAAGGCCAAGCTTGTATTCCACAACAGAACGTTCATACAACAAGGTTCCCCATAAAAGATGTATCTGAGACCTCATCTTTGCAGCTTGCTTTGAAGCTTCATCATAAGAAATATCTTTGAAAAGACTATCCAAGCCCATTTTCTCTAACTGTTCTTTACATTTGTCTGATTTGGATATTCCATTCAAACGCTGCTCCTCCATCTCCTCCCACATCAAGATGCCTTTCTCCATGCTGTCCTCTGCCTTGTTATAGAGTTGTAGAACCTCATCAGAAAAGCCAGCTTCTAAGTCCTTCTTGCATGCCATTGCATAATACCAGCAGAGCCTTGCTTGCTCAAACTGCTGATGCCCAAGAGCAAGATATCCTTCACAGAAGTCAGGTTTGATTTTCAAGGCTTCTTCATATCTCATTTCTGCTTTCTTGTACTCATTCTGCGCCAACTCATACGCAGCTTTCATATGCACCAAGGAAGATTCTCTTGCCACGTCCTCCGAAAAGAAACCCTGGTTCCTTGCCCTGGACATTTGAACCGTCCCCCAATTAAACAATGCCAAAGCAGCCATCTCTTGAAATTTATCTGCAGCAATTCCAAAAAGCTCTTGAGCATCATTGCTTGCCACCGTATCCTCCATTGCTTCTTCATACAACTTCATTGCAACCTCATGATTATCTAGATAAGAATCAGACTCAAACCCTACATGGTTCTTGAACAGCCTTGCAAACTGGAGAAGCCAGTCCTCCACAGTAATCATCCTTTTCGCCACATCTTTATCTTTGCCTTCTTCCACACTCCCATTCTCAACACCATCACTCGGTTTTCCACCTCCACTTTGGGCCTCATCCCCATTAGTCGTTGTTCCATCATAAGAAGGTTCTTGATCTGGATTGATCTCAGTAATATAAAGCCGAAAAGATGCCTTCTGAGGAGCAGATTTTTCAGCTAACCTTAGTTCATCCGTAGTAGTGATTGTAACCAAATCACCTTCTTTATCCTTATACTTGACAAGAACACCCTTCAAACCCGGAAACCGATCCCTAGCTACATCCCTCACTAACTTCACGCTACAATTCACAGGTAACTCTGCCCATCTTATATCGTCTCCAAGCACCAACTTCACAGTCCTTGTGACAGGTCTTTCTTCCTCCACACTAATCATCCTTTTCGCCACATCTATGTCTTTTCCTTCTTCCACACCCTCATCACTTGGCTTCCCACTGTCCTTTCTCACAACCTCATCACTCGATTTTTCTTCCTCCACCCTTTTTTCCTGTTCAACTGTTCCAGAAACCACCTGTTTATCCTCAACACTTTTCACTTTTTCCTCCACAACCACCTTGTCCTCAATTTTTTTAGCTCTCTTTTTCTTGAGCTTCTGCGAAGGAGGAGTAAAGTGGAGAAGAGCATCAAAAGGCACCTCCTTGTAATCAACAGAGACTCCCTTGGCTTCCGTTGACTTGGCGAGACTGTCGAGAAGCTCCAACGCGGTGAGGTTATTAGGCTCCATTCCCAAGACAAGGTGAACGTCTCTGAGCGCCAAATCGAAGCGATTAAGCGCACGATAGCAGGTGGCTCTTTTGAGAAGAGCTTTGCTGTATCTGGGCGACACTTGCAACGCCAAATTGCATTCGTGAATGGCGCGAGGGTATTCGCCGAGACCCAATTGCATGTAACACGTGGCCATGCTCGTACGAAGGTGCGCCACATCGATGTGATTCTTGGGGAGCAGATTCAGTGCCTTCTCGTACATGAGCATGGCGCCCTCGTTGTCCCTCTTCTGAAACAACCTGTTACCTTCTTCCCTGAACTCTTGCGACATGTTGATGAACAGTGCCGTGTCTTCATCGAATGCTTTCGAAGGTTTCACGGACTTGGCGTGCGAATTTGCACCACTCGGAGTAGGAGTAGGAGTAGGAGTAGCGCTGCCCTTCTTCTTCCCTGTGGGCTTCCCCATTCTTAGCAAAGGGAAAACACTGAATCTGAATCAATGGAAATGAAGCAAGATAGGAAAAGAGAGGTGAATTTAACGGTTGGTTTTGGGGGGAATGAATGAATATGTTGCGCAGAGATGGTTCTCAATAACAGCAGCGGCGATTGCGGCACTACAGTTTAAGCCATGCTTATCGCAAAAGCGCTTATCTCTAGGGCTACGTTTGGCCCAAGTCAACGCTGCCACAAGCACTTCCGTGTATTCTCGGGACTACGATAAACTGGTTTAATAAAATATTATATTACTATATCATTCGTAACTCTTTAATCAAATTCTCCACAATACAAATCTTTTTATTAAGTATGGAACAAGTTATATGGAGAGAAAAATATTCACCTTCTGAACTTCATACTTGTCAACTTTGAGTTCATGGTTATTAACTTTTAGACACTGTGTAGTTTATTTCCATTAAAAAAAATTATTATTCGAATATTTTCATAACGTTAAAGGCGGTGTAAATACTGTTGTAAGTAAACCGAAAGCGTTAGTTGAGATAAGGTAGGTAGACAGACACTTGTGATCTAATTTTTTCTTTTTTTGTTTTTTTGACACGTGCACTGTAATTTCCCGATTAATACTTCTTTTCTTTACTTTGAGTTGACTCTTGAGTAACGAGAATGCGAGACTAGCCTATAATCCGACATTTGTAACAGTTGGGAGTAGTAGTAGTGTTACTTACATGCATAGGCATTCCATTACATTGAACGAATGCGGGTTTACACAGGTGAGGTATGTTCCCTGTCTACAAGGCCTAACAGTTCTATATTCATAAGGACACTATATTTAAATGACATTGATTTTTGAGCATACTAACTCACATTTCACAGACTATTGTGTGTTAACTTGAGGATACCTAAAACAAAATCAGGAAAAGAAGCGAGAAGATGGGGAGGTGCCCATACATTTCCAGCAGCATGACAAGAAACCCATGACTCCCGTCTCCGCAGGTTGAGCGATGTCTCTTTCTCGATGTTGTAGCACCTTAACAAACTCCTCTGTGCTTAGGTTTCCATCTCCATTCGTGTCAAACAAGTGGAAAACAATCTCAACCACATTTTCTGAGAGGGTTAAACCACAAACCTGAAATTGAAATAATCAAACACCATAATAAGGATTTACTCAACAGACATCTCATTTTGTAAAATATATTCCCATTCTAACTAACTTTATAAGCCACCAAAGTTTTTGAGTTCTTTTCTGAATTTTGTTATAATGGGGACAGAAATGAGGAAGAAATCAAAATGTCGTACATGGGATGCAGCACGCTGAAAATCATCTCTTGCTAACAGGCCTTGTACTTCTGCAAAACTGAAAAGGGCCAAAGAAAACGGTAACAGTTTTTTCCGCAGCTCTGCAAAGTTTTTGAACTCTTCAAATGTTATGCGTACATCCCTAAACCGTGGGTCGTTGCTTAATTCATCAACCCGTTCAAGCAACCTGCCCAGATGACTCAAGTCAGCAGAAGCAACTATGGAGTGTGCAAAGTCCTTGGCCAAAATAGTTTTCTGAGATTTGAAATCATAATGAGCAAACTCCAGCCTCATAATCTACACATAATATTGTAATTAGTTGTCATACACAATCACTTCTAAGGTCACTAAAGGAAATGAAACTCATCCAAAAAAAAAATGGAACAGAACACATTCTTAATCTATACAGAATGTAGATTAGTTTTTGACCGTTAATTTTGTAATATTGCATAGAACATGTCCATAGACCAATAATGTACGTAAAGTTGTATAGCAGGAGTTCAAACTTCAAATTCACAAAATGGTTTATGTAATAGAAACATCACTTTCAAGTTATCCTGTTAAAGGAAATGTAAGGCTAAGAAGCAATTAGAGACATACTTCGTCATGCAAGTCTCTTATAAACTGCACGAATTTATCATGTTTGAGGCGTCCCTTTCCATCTTTACCAAATAAGTATTCCACCATCCCTCCATTTTCTACGGAAGCATTGGCATTTTGGCCAGTTCGTCGTCCATCCCCATGGTGAGCACCTTGTCTGGTATGAGATCGCATTGATTGCATCACTTTCTTGAATTCTTCCTTATCTATCTCCCTGTAAATAGAGAAAACTAATTAAGATCACTAGGAGTGAAGAACCAGAGAAGAACGAGCACCCACAAGGACATCGAATCCAATTTAAGATTTGTAGCCAGAATTACCAGTTGCAACACTACAATGGATTAATTTATGTCTCCTTGAATTAGATGCCATTGATAAACAGTCTATGAGCATTTTGATGATGCTTAACATGTGTCCAACTAGTATTATTGGAAGTGACCATATAGTTAAGAAAATAAAATGCATAACATAGTGTGCAAGAAAGAATCACAGTCTACAATATACTAATTTACCAACTCATGCTACTAACATGCAAGGTCTACAAATTCTATTTGATAATGTGCATTCAGAGAAGGGAGCATGAGCACTGACCCATCATCATCCTTGTCAAACATTTTAAATGCTGCAGAAAAGCTTGATTCTGGGATGCCAAGCAGAGTTACAAAAAAGATATACCTGTTCAAGTTAAAATGAGACCATTATGTTGACACACAAAAAGAGAGACAGGCTAAGAAATAATGTAACACACTACTCTCTGATCCAAGTAAACTTTAGATTTTTCAAATGTGAACAAGAAATATGAAGAATACAGAACTCACTCTTTGAAAGATATAAGCCCGTCGCTGTTTACATCAAAAAGCATAAAAAAATCCGAAGGGGGACAGCATAAATGGCCAGGACTTCTTTCACCTTTCAAGTATCCCTCTCTTACAAGATTGGATTCTGATGGAGGGAAAACAGGAACAACTGCTCGCATTAGGTCCACCGGCTTCATCAATAGCTCCCCTTCTGGAGTACGACAAGATGCAAAGTATTCAAAAACCTTAATGCAGAAGAGTAGAATATGTCAATGTAGAGATCTTTGTTCACAAAGTGTCTTAAACCCTTAACGTGTGTTTGGCCCAACATTTATTTTAAAATCAATATTGAAGTGAGGTGACTTACGTTTGAATGATTTTATTTTAGAAGTTGGAGTTGAAACCCGATATTTCAATACAAAGGCTTTCTAAAATTGTTTCAACTCAAAATCGATTTTAAACTCAACTAATTTTTCAACATCTAAAACCACATTATATAGTATTTCAACATGATTTTAGATGATCCAACGTGATTGAATAAAAAAAATGATTCAACATGAATTTGAACATGTACTTAATCAACTAATTAATAAATGTTAATGTTTTATTTTAAAGAAGACAAAGATGATAATTGGATTACTTCAACTATCAAACTACCAAAAATAGTTTTATACAACAATGCTGGTAGCACAATTAGGAAACTTACAATGCATGCTACCTATATATCTCAATTGTACGTAAATACATACATAAAGAAAGCAATGTGCTTTAAAAGTAAGAGAGATTAAATACCTTTTCGGGTGGACTATGCAACCGTAGGCGCTTCTCATAGTTGAAGAAAACCTTGCTTCTGTAGGCATCTGCAACAAAACATAAATTATTTATTTAGTCTTCTAGAATAATAAGAGTAAATAAAAACACCAACGTGGCTAAATTATTTGAAAACACGTGCCTCCAAAAAGCAAGCCACGATGATCACTTTCGGGAAGGGATGATTTTTCAAACAATGAAGAACTTTGAGGGTGGTTGTTTGAGAAAGCAGAGTAGAAGCTTGAATGGGGTGTGTTAACGCAATAGAAAAGGGCAAGAGCAGCAGCAGAGGCTGCAACAATGGCTGAACCCCACTTGGGATTGCGATGTGAGGGGGAAGAGTGAAGGGTACGGAAGCGTTGGGCGAAGAGTGATAATCTCCGAAGAGTGGAAAAGGAAGGCATGACGAAAAGTTGCAGAGAAGAAGAACACAGATTCGAAGGATGTTTTTGCTTTTCTTGTAATTATTGTTCTTCTTTTGCAAAGGTGGCAAGACAAGAATCAGAACCAAATATAACTTTAACTCCAACCATCATCCAGCTAATCACAACCATAGATCGGTTATTACAGAACAACTATATAAGTCAGAAAATATAATCAACGGTCCAGATTCTCGCTTCATAGACCATCATGTTGTAGAGGCTGCAGAGAACACGGACAGTTAAATCATTCTGTTTTTTCTTGAACCAAAGACAGTTATGATTCAAGCCCACCTTTATGTTGCAGGACTCCCTTAATGGGCTAAGATTTATACCCAACATGATTCCCTCTAAAGAAGATTGAAATAAGCCCAAAGTTATAATCATTTACTTTTTTTATGCCCCTTAAATAAATAAAATTATACTTTATTTTTTGTAATAAGAAACATTTAGTCAAATTTTATGTTTGATTATTGAATATTTTCATGCACTATCTTATTTTGAAAATTAATATGTTTTCCTCAACTATTTTTTAACCCTCTTTTAAGTATATATATACTATTTATAATAATGTTTTGATTACAAGCATGCACGCAAAGGAACTGAGTATAAATTTGAAAAATTAGACCAGGCTACAGACTTATCATAAAAATCAAAAGAAGTTTTATTCAATTAATTTATGTAAAAATCTGCTTATTTTGATTATTAAAATATATTTTTAGTCTCTTAAAATTTGACTAATTTTACTTTTGACCTCTTAAGGTTTAAGTTATTTTTTTTTATCCTTTATAATGAAAAATCGACTCATTTTCATCCCTCAAACCAATGATGTTATGCTAAATGCTGACATAGCTAATGAATTGACATGTCATTGTTTATTACATATCAATTTCATTTTACGTAAACTAGTAGTATCACGTCAAAAGAACTAAAAATGAACTTATATAACTCAGATTGAACTTTTAGATATTTAAAAAAATAAAAATATTTTATCTTATTACATATTGCAAACACGAATTTAGCTATTATAATACGCAATGCAAAGAAGTAGCCATATCCAATCAAATAAGTGACAATAGAGAAAAAAAATGGTCCTAACTAAAAAAAGAATAAACAAATTTCAAGGAATAGACTTATTGTGACACACAATGATTTTAATTAACAAGAGAGTTGGAAGACTTAACATTATCCCAAAGAAGCTTGGTAGTAAATTTTCCACTAAGTGCTAGCATTTGGCCACATGCCCCTATCTCTAATTGCAATCTTTGGGCCTTTGGCTTTCTATCACCAGGCATGACACTAATAACTTCCCTATTTAGAGGAGGCTTGCTTGGATACTAGATAAATATTCATCATATGCCCCTATCTCTTTCTTTGTTAACTCGTTATTTTAGCCAACACACTAAACCAATATAGCTCTCTTTCCTCCTTGCCAAAATGAATCTCTAGCCACCTTTTATAATCTAAAAAATAAATATTTACATCTGTTGTAGGTTTTTTTGTTATAGAGAATTTCATCTATCCTATCTTTGGCTTTTTGAGAAAAATAAAGAAGGTAGATTCTAATACTTTAGTAAAAAATAATTGCAAAATTTGAGATCAAGGGGTGCAATGCTTCGGATGGTAAATCTTTTCACCTTTTTCTATTCAAGTATGTTGATCTTCTTTCTTTATTTTGTCCAAGATGTTAAATTTAACATATTTAAGAATCCCTTTTAAATTAACGGTTAATGCTAATACTTTAATATAATTCTATCTCTATATACGTATATGTGTGTAAAGCTTAATCTATATAACATGAATTAACTCTTTAAATTTAATTCTTTCCTTTAAAATGTAAAAGTCCAGTTTTAATCATTTTGATATAACATTATTAGGCCGGGTAAAACTTAAATGACATGCGGTGAATGATGATGTGTCAATACATTAATCATATTAACACTTGATCTAAGGTTGTTAGCCTAAGAAAAGGACAAAAATAATTGGTAAATTTCTTAAAAATAAAAGGGAGAAAAGTTGAATTTTAAAATTGAGATATCAAATGTGAATTTTGTCAAAATCTATGGAACTAAAAATATATTTAACCATTGTTAAAATTATGTTTGTTTTGAATTTTTGTTTTTAAAATTTAAAATAAATATATTACTTTCTTTTGTAACAAGAATTAAAAAAAAAGTTAATAAACACTATTTTCCTTTTGTATACTAACTTTATTCATTCTTTTTTGTTACTATATTTTAGGTGCAAAGTTATTATTGATTTTGTTGATGTATATCATAGAATCTAACTAGTTATTTTAGTAAAAATTTCTTTAAATATATTTTTTACATCACATACCTCAAATTCGAATACCTTATTATATCTAAGGAATGCGAGAGGCATATTCGGTTGTACCTTTCCATGTCTTAACACTAACTAAATTTGAATACCCCGTTGACCCATTGGGAAAAATCCATGCCGCCACAAGTTGACATTCCTCGATCCATCAAAAGCACGGGTGGCAGACTTGACCAAGAATGAGAAATCATGGTAGAATTGTATATCTACTAAACAAGTTAAACGTGGAAAATATAAAAGACTTTAGTTGTATACATGTTTTAAAAGAATTGGTCAGAGAGTCTAATTCTTTGCAGTGTTGGTGTGAAAAAAACTTATACCTTATAAAAATAATAAATTGAAGAGTGTGTGGCCGAAAATGTCCTTTACTTAATTTAACTTGCAATGGCTAGTGAAGGTAGCAGAAGATCCTTTTCCCAATTTAGAAACATAAATTGGAGTGGTGTGGGACACTGCTTGTGTGAAACTTTAATTACCACCGGGGACCATAGGGGCAGCTACAGCAACGATTAATTGCAAACACATAACTTGTGGCATCTACTAAGTATTGAAGGGACCACAATTGGATTAACTTGTTGCCTCTTGGACAAATTTTTATGGGCAAAGATGCCAATTGTCCCTCTCACATTCGTTGCTATTATATATATTCGTCTTATTAGTTGGTCCACTCACTCACATGCCAAATATTCCACTCTGCTAATTTACTATCCACTCTTCACAAATGCCATTCATCCAGTCACAGTTGTGGATAGCCTGTCCCGCAATTCAACAACAGTTTGTTTGCTCATCTAAAATCGGTTACATCCTTCCAACTGGAAATGTTTGCTCACAAATTCAGAGACACCCTTTTAGATAAGTAAGATGGTACGCGATAAAAAATATCACTTTATTATGGACCGATACAAGAGAAAAGAGTTATATTTCTTAATTAAAAAAATAAGTAAGATGTTAAATTCACCTATGGCAAACCCAAAAAATAATGAGAAAAGTTTTAGGCTAAAAACCTATTTTAGTCCTTTATAATAATTGTTTATTTTAATTTAGTTCCACTTTTATTTTTGTCTCAATTTGGTCTCTAATAAATTAATTGGTTGCAATGTCGGACTTCCGTCCAAATTATTTAAACAGAGTTAACTGTTGGTCACGTAGATGCCACGTAGATGCATAGGTGGATGCCACGTAGATGCATAGGTGGATGCCACGTGGATGCCAAATTTGATGAAAACACCTGGAACCAGAACGGGTCGTTCTGGGTGCACTCTTGGTGTATTAATTTTGCATCCGGAACGGCCTGTTCAAGGTGCAAAATTAACACACTAAGAGTGCAACCAGAATGGGCCGTTCTGGTTCCAGAATGTCCAACACAAACGGTCAATTATTATAGTTCACGGTTGTGAATCGTGGAAGGAAAAAGACCTAAGGTACAAAGCATTTCAAACACTGGATTTGGTAATATTGTCAATGAAAATTGATAACTTCAATTGCTAAATAGTTAGACTATACAGTGTATCATTAAGGACAATGCAATGTATCACTAAAGACAATGATAGCAAATTTTATTTCATTGTTAGTCAAACTGGAGTAAACCACTTACTACCAAATTGACACTATACAATAAAGGATGAAATGACATGATATTTTTTTTTGAAGTCATTAACGATATACCCCAACAACAACAACCTATTCTTGAGGAGGTACAACCTAAAGTAAAGGAAAATGATACACAAGACTAACATTTCACCATACAACCACATGCAAGGACGGATCTAAGTTAATCATAGTGCCCCCACTAAAAAAATTTTCATTCTTTTTTTTTATATATAAAATATTAATAATTTTATAAAATATATATTATTAATTATATTTTAATTATCTTGTTATATCTAATATAATAAATATATACATTAATATTTTTTTATATTTTATTTTATTGTTTAATTATTTTTTATTTTGTGGTTAAATTATTTTCATTGTTAATGAAGACAAAATTTACTTACTTCAAGAGTAAGTCTTGATAGATTTATTCTACTTAATAATTAATGTTCTATATCAAATTTTTAAAAATTTAATTGTTAAATTAAAAAGCTTTTCATGTATAAATCAAATTTGTAAAAAATTTTAAAAAATTAAAAATCATATGATACTTCGTTAAATTAATTCAAAATAAGTAAATCATATAAAAAAATTTAAAAAATTTAATTGTTAAAGTTGGCATTCTGGAACGGACTGTTCTGAAACCAGAACGGCCCGTTTTGGTTTCAGAACGGACCGTTCTGCTGTACTCGTGGTGTGTTAATTTTGCATCTGGAACAGCCCGCTTCAGATGCAAAATTAACACACCAATAGTGCACTCAGAACGGCCTGTTTTGGTTTCAGAACGGGTCGTTCTGGTTCTAGGTGTATTCAAGAAATTTGGCATCTACGTGGCATCCACCTATGCATCTACGTGGCATCCACGTGGCCAACAATTAACTCCATTTAAATAATTTAGACGGAAGTCCGACATTGCAACCAATTAATTTATTAGGGATCATATTGAGACCAAAAATAAAAGTGAGACTTTATTGAAACAAATAATTATTATAAAGGACCAAAATAGGTTTTTAGCCCAAGTTTTATCATGTCAAGGAAAGTGTGTATATGTGTGTGTACGGATCTCCCACCAACTAAGGGACTCCTTGAACGAATACTTAGATCTCAGTCAAAAGATGATCACACCCTTCCCCTGGATGATTAAGGATTGAACGCCAAGAGTGATGGAG